AAATTCAAGACAATTTCTCATATCGCAAACCACGTACTATTATTTTTAACGGACTTGTAACATAGCAGCTCAAAGCATACCTAAATTTGTCCTTTTAATAAATTAATCAAATTTGAAATCGATCACCCCTTTTCACTCCACGAGAAATTTTTATTACGAAAAATATTATTTTAGCCAATCTGGAATCTTCTGACTATCCGTATTGGGTATCTATCAATTAGGCTATTGAGGTCTATGATAATATTTATTACAATAACTAGATAAGTATTGAACAAAGACTTCATTTTTCAGCCGACATAAAGAATAAATAATATAATAAATCGATATAAGTTTCCAAGAATAGGATAATAGACGACATTACTTGATAAACAAAATTGTAAGCGTCTAATAATTTATTATTAAAATTAATATATTATTTATTTTTCTTATAACACAAATTCTCTAGAAATTACTTTCTTTTGATTGTTCTTTTTCTCTATTCAAGATTACAATAATTATTAGTTTTATTATATTCTAGTCACACACTACAAACAAAATTTAATAAATAAAAATTAATAAAATAGAATTAATAAAATAGAAAATAATAAATAAATCATTAATAAAATACAATTTCAAAGAGATTACGATAACAATAAAAAAATAGATAAATTGTGGAGTAAAATAGTGTAATAGTGATAATAATGATAAACGTTTTAGAATAATTATGTGAAAAATCAACTTGATAATAAATTTGTAATTATGTTTTCCAAACACGAATATAACTATTACTATAATTATTTTATTTTAGTCTTTAATAGTCTCAATCTAGTCTAAAAAGATTTCTTATAATCTTGGTATTATAATTTTTATACAACAATAAAGATAAAGTATAGTTTCCTTTAAAATTTTCTTATCAGTACTTATCACTTATCTTGCAATTAGTGTACAGTTAGTTATCTTGCAAGTGTACAATTATTAGTGTACAGTTTGATAAAAATTTTTTTAGGAGTCAGATCACAGTTTTATTGAGTATAAAAGTCGACACAACGACATAATAGTAGAATTAAAAGCACATGTGGTAACCACGAGTCAAGCAAATAAAATCATTGTTTTGTCGAAAGTGAAATCGCTCGCGATTCTTTAACGATAATTTTGATTGCGTTCAATCAAACTTTTTCATTATAATTTCTAATCAATATTAATCGTAGATATGATCCCAAAATTTATACTTTTACCACTATACTCCACAATTATTAAAATATATTTGTGATCATTACACAATTGACAACATAATTTTATAAAAAAAAAAATTTGATCTAAAATAATCAGATAGAAGTGTTTCATGTTATTAATTTAATTTTTTCATAAACTAATTTTCAGTCACATGCAAGAATATGCCAAAGATTGTGATAGAAACATATAATTTTTTATACTTCTCATAAATATGATCAAAAAATGCAGATATGAAAAAATCGATTATAAAATTTCGATTATAAAATCGATTATAAAATCGATTAAAAAATTCACTCCATAATTTCACAGATATCATTTTCAAATCTGACAAACCTTGCGCTTTTAAAATTTTTGCTCGTTGCTGTACTAAATCAAGTTGTGAACAGTTTCTCATGATTTCTTTTTAAGCGTGAAGAAATTTACATAAAGTTACAACCAGGCGCTCTCAGTGTCAGTTCTTCGCAATGTGGCGTATGATCATCTTCATTGCTGTGACAATTACAAGTAAGCAGTATATTTAGATTTGAAAAAATCGCGCAAACAATAATTGATATTAAAGAAAAGATCAGGTTGGAATTTATGGTCATTCAATTTGAAGCTTTAACAAATAATAGAAATAATAGAAATATTGCAATATATTATTATTTAATTAATTATTATTTAATAATAAAATACAAACAATTTACATATTACATATTGCATGATTTACATATTTTTTATTTTATATGTATTTTAATGTGCTTTATTATTAAATATTAATTAGATATATAATATGATAATATATAATGGTAATATTAATTTTGATCATGTTTTTTTCCTCTGTGCATCCTTTCCAATATTTTATATTTCTAACATTAATATAATAAGATATAAATAAACGTCATGATTCAAAACATTTAAAATAATTTACAAAAGTTTCCAATTATTTACATATTCTT